TTTCAGGAAATGCTGGTTGTCAGGCAGTTTTCGGGTAGTCTGTCTGGAAAATGTTTGCTGACATAACAGTGCTTTTTTAAGAGAGAGGAGAGATGAACACAAAGGATAGCTGCAGAGTTGCACACGTTCGCTTTTGCATTTACACAGCCAGGGAGTCTCACGGAAGCTTAGGAGATGCTGACCACAAAGGCCTAATCTTTCTATTGTTGAGGGGGGGAGGGGAGGGACACCTGCAGTATAGTGTTGTAAGTGATATAAAACTGAAATAACGGTGCAGTAATGCGAGTAAAAGTTAGCTGTGAGGTGGCCGGAATGCAGGTGAACCTGAATTTGGTCTTTGTCTAAATTAAGTGTTATGTGTAAATAAATCAGCATTTGATAATCGTTTTTGTTTTTTTTGGTTTTTTTTTATTTTATTTTATTTTATTTTTTTTTTATATAGACCATGGATGGAATTGTCAGTTATGTGTAGGTCTGCACAAAGCAGGATTTCTCAGACAACTTGAGCCCAAAGTCAAGTCTGCCCAAAAGTAGAAGGTATGACGGACATTTCTAATGCCCATCCTGAACTTTGGGCTTAAGTTATCTTGCTAACTGAGAAATCTGTCTTTTTGAAATACCCTTTAGGTTTGTGATTGTATTGTAATTTAGTGATATGTGTTTCAGTATAATAATGAATTGTTGTATCAATTATGTGGCATGATTTAAAGATTGGCCTGCATTCCTGTGATCAAAATAATATACTTTTGTTGAAGAACTTTCATTCATTTGAATATGGCAGCCTTCTATATTTGTTAGTATTAGGCAAACATCATGCTAACAATTAAAATATGACACATTGTGCAGACCTAGACCTTCATATCAAATGTCAGTGCCTGATGATAGGTATTTGCTTTGGAAATTTTGTCATTTTTTGCTTTGGAAATTTTGTCATTTTTTGCAATGCTTACTTGTGCCTATTTCTGTGGTCTCAGGAAATACTTGTGTTACTAAATAAAACATTTGCCCATCTGGCCAGTACCACATGCAGTATGTTTTTTCCAGTAAGAACTCCATCCATGCTGATGGTGTCTGTAGCTTCAACTTCATTGCTGTTGAGTTACTTTCCTAAGTTGTCTCTGTGTGTTTGCTTTATTGTGTGTGTGTGTGTGTGTGTGTGTGTATGTATGTGTGTGTGTGTGTGTGTGTGTGTGTGTGTGTGTGTGTTATGGGAATTGGTTTGACTTTGTGAAAGGCACCTTGTTTACTGAACATGGCTCCCAAGCTCCACTCATTTTTCCATACAGATGAGAATTCAGTCAATACCTGTGTTATCCTGTTGTGTATATACCAGTAAATCTTTGGTTAATGGAGTTTTCCGCGTTGGCTGATGCAGTCTTTGTAAGAGCTCTTCCTCAGTCTAGCTGCTTTATGTGACTTTTACCATCGGGACTTCCACACTCGTTCACACCTGTGCTCGACAAAAGTCAATGTGCAACACCTGCATAATCATGCAAACTGTGCATGCATACAGTGTGTATAATACAAAAGATGATGGATGTTTTCCTTGAAATAGACTGAGCAGATGAATCCATGTGAAAGCTAGAATGCCAAATTAATTTGAGCTGCTCTGTCTAGTTTGGTCAGTAAAAGGGAAGAAGATTAACCCTTTAATCCCTGCGCTCCACATCCTTTCAGCACCATGGTCCTGGTCTCAAAATGAAGATAGTTGACCAAGACAACTGGCAATATTACTGTATTTGCTGTAGTGTCCTTTGAATCAGACTGAAAAACAACTCCCATAGCATTTCTTTCATTTTCACAATTGTGCATCAGTGCTTTCTGTCTTTTTCTTTTTACATCTCACTCAGTTGGTTAGAATTTAGCCTTGTGCTATGACTGTGCTCTCAAAACCATGCTAAAATATTTTGTCAGTAATTTTCACTTTTACAACTTAACTAAGAGTCAGTATGTTAAGAATGGAAAACTAGCTTACTCAGGCACAGAGTAAGTGATAAGTTAGCAGTACTTGTCTCTCTGCCCACTGTGTAATGCTGGTAGGCGGTCAAGCCAGAAAACCGGCATTTTGAATACATAACATATTACAGGCCAGGTTTTTTGGGAATGGACAAGAAAAAGTATTTAAGGATGATAGCAGGTGCTCCTGTTTCAGCATATAAAGAACTGACCATCACACACAGAGCAGACAGCAGGGCAGTAGGTCGATCATTAATAAAACAGGCTGACATTATTTATAGTGATAAACATAATCAGCATAATAGTTAACTGAACAAAAAAAAAAATTTGCAACCACATTGCTACTGTTTTGTGCTGTTGGAGTGCACTAGAATGCCAAGGGTCTCTTCAGCCATGTGATTTCTCTCTGCTTTCTGTTATGTGTCTTACGTTTTCTCCAAAGGCAGAACATCCAAAAGATGACAGGGCCCACATCCTTTCAGTTCAGATTTCAATGAATAATAACTTCCTGATAGCTTTTCTGGGTGCACAAATCCTGTGAGGTAAAGAAGGACAGGGCTTGAATTTCAGCATAAGATTTCGGAGATGCTGCGGAATTGGTTATTCCTATATGTCTGACATTTGTAATGGAAGAATTTCTTGCAGACATTTTTTGGAGAGCCATCTACTAAGCAGACACAAACGGATACATCAGTCTGCTGTTCTTTAGTGTCAGATTGAATTTTATCCTGTAAGGCAAATACGGAACAAATAAAGTGCTGATATTGAATCATGCAGCCTGTCCTTTTAAGGGCAATGGAGAGAAGATGGCAAGATGGTGGATGACTTGAACACTAAAGGCAGGGGCAGCGGCTTAATGTAGTGCTTCTGGTGGAGAGAATCTGGTCCTAGAAAACGGAGCATACTCAGCTCACGCTGTCAATTTATTTGTTTCTTATAGCCATGTTTTTTATTGCTATTACTCCTCCCAAGCTGTTGAAATTCCCCCTTTGGCACAACTGTTGTTTATAAATAGTTGTTTACAGGTAGGCTTGGAGAGAAGAGACCAACGAATGTTAATAAATGATGATACAGAGAGTAGTGATTACAAACTCAATGCAGTGCTGTGACTTGGAGCTAGTCCTTCTCCTCTCCTTGCCCAGATGCAGGAGAAGACTGACAGTCAAAATCCTGAGAGCTTGTCTCTCTGACTGCTGCATGTCACTCAGAGTAAAAAAGGAAAGCTGGTATGTCTGACTCTCTCTTCAGCTCATATCACTGCCCCTGATGTCAGAAGTGAAGGAGCCTCCTACTCTGGAGCCACACATTTATACTGTGTTCAGAATTAATTACATATTAACTTGTTTCTGTTCATTACATACCGTTTGCTATATAGCTCACTACTACAAGACCTCAACCTAATGCTTGTTGTCTTACACAAGATGATTCTTCTTTACTAGAAATTCTACCAATTGTGAAGTCATTTCATTTTTAATGTGAAATGTTCTGATCTAGAGAAACTTACTGATCCAGAATTGTTCACTGCTGTGATGAAAGGAACTAGACATCTGAAGAGTTTAATGCTCCTAAAAGCTGCCTCACAGGAAGCTATTACATGAAGTGGTTATGAATGTGCTGCCTGATGCCTGAGACCTTTTTATGATCATTTTGAGCTTTTAACTAACTTTTTAATTTAAGTACTGAAGACGGAGAGGTACCTAAAGGATGTTTTTAGGCCAAATAGGCCCCAAAGTAACTTTTAATTTTTTTTTGATTTATCACTTTTTTTTCCGTTATCAAAATTCCTCAAAAGAAAAACTCATGAGGCATGTGTAGGTTCCTTGGTCATTTTGAATAGTAAATAAAATGGCTATGTTTGTGTTGTAAACATCTTGACCTCTGATTCCTGGTTAGTACATTTCTTTTTTTTTTTTAACAACCATTTTACACCAAACCGCTTTCAAGTTCTCAACTACTGAATCATGCAAAAGGTCAAAAGAATTGATGGAATTCTCAATTAAGCAACACATTGGTAAAATCAGTGTGAGAAATTGCATGGTAAATATTGACTTATATAAAAATGGTCTAAGAAATTCTTAATGTTCAGCTGAAATAAGCATCTTCCACTGTGGACCCTCCGAATTCTGTACCTTTCTTGCCTGGCAAACCCATGTAAGTGCCTCCATTGGGGTCTGTGCACACTCAGCCTCTTCTTTTAGAAGGAGGATGGCCAGTAGGTCCCTGCTGCTGCCGTGTAGTAGCTTGTCACAAACTGGCTTGGTATCATTCTCACCACCGTCTGCTATAAAAGAACTCCTAGCACATTTGTGGCACACTGAATATTTGCAACATTATGAAGCTGTGTACTACACAGCACAGATAAGCATGTCTAGTGTAGTAAAGCACTACCCCCTGCTGACCTGAAATTCAATATTTCTGGTTGGTTTCTACAAAAGCATTTTATTACTTGGAGATTTTTTTTGTCTGTCATACAAGGTCTAGGTTTTGCACTTGAGTGAGTTAAGAACATTAGCAGGCTCATGTAGTTTTCTACTGTTCATTTTCATTATAAATGTGTGCTTCAGGTTTTATACCATTATACCAGACTGCTCTCTGCTGGAGGAAGGCTGCATGACTTGCTGTCAGGCTGGGCTAACTCGCAGACTTTTAGCGCTGCTTAAACAGTCAGCTGAGAAAAAAAACAACCTTGAATGCCTAAAATCCTCTTAACTGTGGTAAAATCTTTAATGCAATAAAATACACAAATGTTTAATAGATAACTTAATATACTATTAATTCTACTGCCAGGCAATGTTGTTCATTGGCAAAATGCTGTGGTTGCTAAGCAACATAGAAACTTTGCAAAGTAATACGGACTTCAATTGACATGAGTGAATACGTATGTATTGTGTATATATGTGTGTCTGTCGGGTATATTACATTGTCTTTGAATGTGGTTCAGTGAATCAAACTTAAGAACCAGAACTGTCCATTTTTTTAAGTACTTTTATAAGGATATTTCTATTGTGCGTCATCTGTGCTTGTTCCTGTGTCTGTGCTATTAGCCTGGCATGTTCCTGCGCTTGTACAATCTCCATGCAGTGCCTCAGAGAGCTCCTGGGCAGCCCCATGATGTGCCCTGCCACCTTGGCTTCCACCTGCATGGCGGCACCTCGTACGGCAGAGGCCTGCGCAGCATCCCTTCAGACAACCCTGATTTCCTAACCCTCAAGAGGTAGCTCTGATCTCTTAAGTTAGTTATTATAATTGTTGGGAAAACAATGTGTGTTTTGTGCTAATTTTAAATGTTGTGTTCCTCACCAGAATTAGTCATGCAAAAAGTGAATATTTCTTTGGCTGGTCTGAATTAGACACAGCTTCGCTGGCTCAATTTCTAAGAATGTTCACTGTAATGTGCTAATCCTCATTTGCACATATCCAGAGTGTTGGAGAGCCAGGCAGAAAAACTGGCTAGTGAAAAAGAGGTGAACGATGGCACTCTTTTAGAAGTGTGGTACACTCCTCCAGAGGCTGTAGGTAAGGGTCTGCCTCTAACACCCACTCTCTGTCCCAGTCCATAAGACGAAGGTGTTGTTATTTGATTATGCCTGCCTGGTGTGCAGTGCTCATTAGGTTTTGTGATGCTTTTAACTATGGTGCACAGCCATAAATGCAGTGTTTATCTTGTACTTCAGATGGAGTGGGATCTAAAGACATCTGCACAGGTATCATGGATATCCAATATTTTGTCTTGGTTTTTTTTAATATTCTTTGTCCAAATATAGAATTAAATGGTTATATAAATGCCTATCTCTTTATTTGTTAGGATTTTTAGCCAAGCCTGCATCCACTCATGTTCATTTTTTAATTCTTCTCTTCTATGGTCTTATAAAATTAAAAGAGAGAAATTTAATAGGAAACATAATCCGAGGATACCTTTTTTCACTTGTGTTGTTTGTTTATTCAGGTCGGACATGTGGGCACACGCTTCAGCAGATGTCTCTTGCTCATGTAAAGAGATGCACTCCACCTGCATTTCATCATGTTTGTGCCCAGGTGAAGTCTTACCAGCCACAGAAACTGTACCAGTGTCTCAAACTCTTCTGTCCACAGTGTAAAACAATGTAAGTCTTACACTGAACTGCATATAGTAACATTGACATGGGAGGAGATACACCGAGATGTTGTGGTGCAGTTGGCTGGAGCAAGTGGCTAGATGGGAGCAGCAGTGCACAGCATTCAGTTTTCCCTTACATAATATAATTTTGTATAAAACTAGGAGTGCCCTGATCAAGTTTCTTGTCTTCGATCTTGATCAGAATGATTTAAAATGGAGGGTCCGCTAATTCTGAGTCCAGTCTGATAATTACATTAAAAGTTCTGTAACCAACCCAGTTTAGGTAGAACATGCTTTACTCCCAATTACTTTAAAAGTGGCTGCTTTTATTTTCCACTGTTTCTTCTTTCGTGTTTTCATGTTCCTCACTGCCGACATTAAATCTGCATGTTAAATTCTGAAAAGATGCCCCGTTGCAGCATGTTGTGGGTACTATCTGTTACTTTTACCTCTAAGGTTGTAGCATAAACAGTGCACAATAGAATAAACAAAGCCTGAAAAAAAAGATCAGAATTGGATTTAATGTAGCTGATAACAATTCATTAAAATATGTCTTGATCACTTATGATCTTTCAGTACATCCATGATTATAACAGTTGGAATGAGTTTGCAGATGCCCCCAATGTGATCTGTCTAAAAAGACAATGTGCATAACATGACTTTACAACAGAAAAGAGGTCCCAGATGATGAGTCCATAGCGCAGGTGTTCCAGGGGGCTCTCGGAGGCAACTGCCAGCCCTGCAGTGAGCACTGGGCAGTCACCTCTTCAGTGGACTCCATCCAGCTAGACAGAGTCATCACCATGCATGTGTCCTGCGACATGGTGCTCGAAAACACTCAGTCCCAGCTGCTCTTTCTCCAGGGTATGTCTGACTGTTCACAGAAAGAAAGTTTTTAGTTTTTAAATGATTGGGACAGCTAGATGTCTGGTGCAAAGACTGCTGCTTTACAAGACTGTTAGAGAGTGGATTTTGTGGTCTTTCTGTAGGTGTGACCCTAGATGAGATATGTGTGATATCTGCTGCTCATAAGAATGTGGTCCCTGTGCGGTCAGAGGAGAGGAGAATGAGACTGCTGGACCTCTCTGCTCCTTTCCTTTTCTGTGGATGCAAGAGATATTATGGGTAAGAATCAAAATAATTAGTTATGATGAATATGAGTGCTTTCTCTCTGTTAAATCATTTCCAACTAGGGCTGCATGTTATAGACAAAATGCCATACTATGTTTAAATTTCTACATATTGCAATTGCAATATACCTTGCAGTACATTGAAACATGTTGGTGAACCCAGTGTCAGAACTAACCAGGAGCAAGGGAAACACTCATATATTGAGCTTTATTACCCCTTAAAACACAAGTATGGTGGGAAAACATGCTACCCAAACAACACGTTATAAATCAGTATCAATTAACTTCTGAAAGTAATACATACATGAGTGAATGAATGCATTATTGAATGTTTGAGATTAAAATGCTGTGTTATTCTGTTTGTGTTTAAAATGTCATTTTAATTTCTAAATTTTTTAAGATATTTTGAATTTTAAAAGGACCCTTATTTGTGTGAAGAATGCCATTGTCTCTCATTGATGGCAAACATTGCCCTTTAAAAACATGCATTATATCCTACTCTGAGTTAACCTTTCATGCTACCTGATTAAAGATTGGCCTGCATTATTTTCAACGAAAGAATTAATTCTTGATGGACTTTTTATTACAACACCCACAGAAATAAATCTGACACATCTAATTTCCATATGTGAATATTGTATTCTTCAGTGACATCAATACAGCAAAGCCCTGTATTGCAGTAATTATTATAACGATCATTATAACAATAGATTTTGCAGGTCTAATTAGAACACAGAAAAGTTTCTAGCAGTAATCATTCTTTATAATTATTGTACTGATGGGATACTTAGAGTTCCTCTTTACTGTAACAGTGTTTGCACTCTGTGTATTTCAGCTGTAAACAGTGCTCTCGGTCCTCGTTTGTGGAACCTGAGGTTTCTGGAGTAGAAGTGTGGGATGAGCATACTGTAGCCAGAGGTAATCTGCATCATAATAATAATACCTTTATATACCCACAGTATTACTGCAATGGTCTATTATTCTTTGATTATGTAATCTTCATCTATTTTTCCCCCTCAAATGTCCTCACACTCTCAGCTCTTGGTGTGCAGCTGATGCAGTATGTGCTGCTGATGGAGTTTGAGCTTGAGGATAAGACTGGCACAGTTGAGGCTTTACTGTGGGAGGATGCTGTGAGTGAATTTAGTGCATTGAAGTGAAAAATTGATAAGTATAATGAACATATGTATTGTACATCATATACTCTCTCCAACAGGGGGTGCTGTTCCTTTCCTAAAGATAGAGAGTACTGTCATGACTTATTTGTTTCACTTTAATAGGAGAGGTTCTTTCATGTCTCCTCTGCTGACATATCAGCTAGTCAGGAATTGCAAGACAAAGTTCAGACCATCATGGACAGGCTTCGGCCACCAGGAAGTAGCATGGGTAAGATTGTGACTGTGGACTGCAGTCTTCAACCTCACGCAAAGTTAAAGGGACACTCCAGCCAAAATGAATTTAATGTTGCAACGTCTATTGCAAACATGGTTACTCGCCTTTTACAGTGGTGCTGTAGTAGTCTCTTTTGGTTTGAAGACTGCTGATGACGTATCTAGAGGAACTTTGAAAAACTACAGCTGCTTTTAAGTGTTTTTTTGGGTGCAAGTTAGTTTGTTTTGTTTTTTTCATTCATTTATTCATAATCTGGTGAATGCAGAAGGAAGTCAGAAAGGCTAGGAAGCTGAGTATCTTACTGCAGCTGTATAACTGTAGTAACTGTCTTCAAATCATCACTATAATGGAGAGAATTAATTGCTTAAACAACAAAATTGACTTGTCAGATGAAGAGGTCAACAAGCAAAAAACTAAATTTAGTAAGATGCCTGGCTGTCTAGAGACCATGCCTCAGTTTGGCTCCTTTTCTCTGGCATCCATTTTATGCTGAACAAAAAGAGAATTGCTGTTTTCTTACAATTTTACAATTTTTGTTCAATTACTGATGCTACCTTGATTATATTTATTGGCCTATAGATCAGTGGCTAGTCTAGCAGTAAGGATTAATCAACACTTTAGGGATTCCTAGTGGTTGAATAGTGAGCAATGCATGCTGGGTGGTGTTGTGAGAGAACATAAATGACTGAAAACACGAATATCATATAAAATCATGAATGTATGGTAATGCTTTTGGACACAACACATAACCTGAAATAAGTAGACTGGATATACTGTAAGTAGACCAGATGATGCATGTTTTGCTTTACCAATGCACAAACTTCAAGTAGTCCTCTGTTCTGCACTCTTTCCACAGCTGAGCGCCCGTGGCTAGAACTCTGCCTCGCTGCCTACACTGTAGAGGAGAATGGCAGGACTCAAGTGTGCTACCAGATCACTAACACAGAAACCAGGCAAGATTTATAGACCAGGCCATAAAGTCTTTCCTTTGAGTGACGGGTGCCTGTGTAAAAGCTACAGTGACACAGATTCAGAAAACACTTCAGACATCTGACACATGAAGGTCAAACAACTGAAGAGTGCAGCAAGAACAGCCAAAAATGTGTGTAGCTTTATACTGATGTGAAGTATGTTTGTCTTGTGAAGAAATGCATATATTTATGTAAGTTGTTCTCTTCAATAAAGTGTTTCCTTCTGTAAGAACTGTATGGCCCAGCTTGGTTGTTTACTGTAGAATCTGGGAATGTGGCAGTGTTATGCTAGATGAAAATGAATGTCCTCCCAGGTCTGATAAAAGGAATAAAATATTAATAAAACTTAAATTAATCTAAATATGTAAACAATTGAATTATTTAAAGTTTAACAGAAGAGTAAAATTATTTGAATTTAAGCAGACAGTCTTTTCTTTTTTTAATGCCTGCTATTTATGAATGCCTTTGGGTGCAGTTTGCCTGTCAGTAGTGTTTTAGTCTTGGTTGTAGTTCACAGGTGAAGAAGGTAAAAAAAAACAAAAAAACATGAACATTATGCCTGTACAGTTCACCTTTGTTTGACTAGGCTGCATCTCTTGTTGTCAGTTAAGAATTTGCAAATGTGTCTAGTATTATGTGTCTCACATGGTGATCCAAAAAGCCTTTAACAATGTTCTATATGTATTTATCCAGGGTGAGGCCACCATGATTTGCCCAGTAGACATTAACTGAATAATATTGCTGCAATTTTGTCTAAAAATGGTGAATTTTCTTTAAATTGCAGCTGATAGTTTGCACTTTTGTTCATTTGATCACACAATTGTGTCATTGCAAATCCCAAATAATGTAGGATCCCAAACAGTTTACATTTTTTAGTCTTTACCAGCTCCTAACACCTGAACCAAGCAATCTGCTTGAGGGTCCCCAAAGCCTTTCTTACTGTCTGTCTGTCTTTTTTTTATTCTAGAAATGTTTAAAGCATGGCCTCAGAAGTATGACATCTGACAGTGCAGTGCTGTGTCCTTCAGCCTCACTGATGTGCAAAAGTGTTTACACATTTCTCCTCCAGTGTATGCGGTAGAGAAACTGGGCTCTTTTTGAGGGTCTCTGAGCACTGGGTTAGGTAACACTGATAGAGAGTACATATTACTTTTCAGCTGTTTTCTGTAAAGCATTTTGTAAGCTTTTTAAAAAATGTATTTCGACACTAAAGTTACTGTCCACTCATTCAAGCTCTCATCTTATTTCTCAATATATTAATCCTGAAGTATATAAATAACAATTGAAGTTTTATTCCAAAATGCTGTCAATTTGTCACAAATTTGAATACAGCAAGTTTAAAAAAAAACAAAAAAACGCTGACGTCTAATAGAAAACACATTTTTATTTCTCTAATAAATGTGGTATTAATCACAATATAGCACTTATATTTCTCGTATGTGTGAAGCCCACTCCCAACAATGTATAAATCATGGAAAAACAAGTTGTTGAAAGTGGTCTACCCTGCAGAAAAAAACAGAAACCATTGTGCATGTGTTATGGCTTTTTGAATGGGTTCAATATCACAATGTAAAAGATCCTGATAGTTTAACAAGTGACCAATTCTAAATGCATTTGATGGTTTCCTAATGGGATCTAAAGGTCTTCTATAGGAAACTAGTGGTTTCTCTTGGAAACCATTAAGCCAATTCCCATTAGAAGGCAAAACCATTAGGTTTAAATCTTAATGGTTTCTAATGGTCCTTTTACAGCAGGGTATAATGTATTTTGACAAAACCCTTAAATTACCAAGCATCAAGGACATAAAAAGTTCTAATACATATTATAATATTCTAATATGTATTCTAATACATATTATAATAAAATACAGATTGATCTTTTTTCTATGATGTTTCTGTTTTGTCCATGCAGGGATAAGAAGTGGGCACTGCGCTTATATGCGAATGTATTTTAGGTACATCGTGTTTCGCTCCACACTAAAATACATTAATGGTCATTTTCATGCATTGCAGTTTTTATAAACAGACTGTAGGTTTACGCCACCGGGTAAGACGTTGGTGCAGCCAGCTGTTGGGTGAGTGACTGTCCGAGTTCAGACCCTGTCATAATGCATCCTTTTCCACAGAGAGGCGCTCTTTGCTCAGGTGGCTCTGTGTCCAGCAGGCGCCTCCCTGAGAGCCCCATCAGGAGCTTGAGGAGCCCGAGCCAGTGTCCAGCTTCACTGCTCCATCACTCTGCTGGGAGCTGCACAGCAGGAAATGTGGACTGCGGAAGAAAGAGCAGTGAATCCCTCCGGGCTGTGAGGACGTGCTGAGCTGGAGTTTTTATTAGCGGAAAGCTTTTCTATCTGTTCTACCCGTTGATTAACTGTAAGTCATGTTCGGACAGTTCTCCTGGACCTACTCGGTGGAGCCTGCTCACCCCGGCTGTAGTACCAGGGCAGCGGGAACAATGCCTTGAACTTGGAAATCTCTCTACAACTTGATGGATGTGTAGAAGTGGGATTCTGACTATGGTCTGAACGAACAGCTGAGGGAAACATGGGAGTGCAGCAGCTGAAGCGGTTGTTTTGTCTGCTGGTGTGTTGTGAACTTTCCTCAGTTGTAAACGGTCGCAGTTCGGACTGGAGAAATTATGAACTCAACCTCGCGGGTAACGTGGACAGGACTAACGCTGAGCTCTTGGCTTCCAGCAGAGTCTCCAACAGCGTGGACATGAGAGATGAGGGACAATCTGGGGGCACTTTGTCGTTTACCGTGGCCAGGACTTTGGGGCAAAACGGCAGTGCCAGGTCTAATAACGAGCGAGTGAATGTTACAGGTGTGGACAGGGCCGTTAGACCTGCTAGGCACCTCCACACCAGACTGTCCGCCAGCCATCCACCCCGGGGAAGACCCCCCTCAGAGCCTAGTCTACCTCACCGACACAAAAGAGGGACGAGGAGTAGCAGCCAGGCCACAGAACACCCTGAGCCATCACCGTCAGTGGACCTCAGCGATGCCCCCAAGTTGGAAACCCTCCCTAAGCCTTTAGCCCAGAACCAGTCCACTGAGCCTCCCTTTGACTTCACTCTAGACAGGGGTTTGTTCACTGTGCCCGAGAGCGACTACGAACACTTCACCCCATTCGTCCCCATTAACACTCGGCCAAAGCCCCCCGCGGTCAAGAACCCGTTTTATCCGCTCACAAGTGAATCGTACGGGGCGTACGCCATCACATGTATCTCCGTGATCGTCTTCACAGTGGGGATCATCGGAAACATAGCAATCATGTGCATAGTGTGCCATAATTACTACATGCGCAGCATCTCCAACTCCCTGCTCGCCAACCTGGCCCTGTGGGACTTCCTCATCGTCTTTTTCTGCCTGCCGTTGGTGACATTCCACGAGCTCACGAAGGACTGGCTGCTCGGAGAGTTCTCCTGCAAAATAGTACCCTATATTGAGGTAAACGCGTAGCCTACATTGTGAAGTTGTGTCATATGCAGTGCTGTGGAGGATTACTTGGTCAAAATCCCGCCTACAACGTCAACATAACATAAATCATCCCAAAAGAGCAGAACAAGAAAGTTATCTAGATCTAGACACGTACCGATGTTCAGTAACAAGGTATACCACGATGTCACATACACGGTATTGTTACCGTGGATCTGAAATATCGTCACCTTATGATGTTTTTACAGCTGTTTATTGAGTTGTTCTAAGCACAGCCCACGAGATGAAACACTCAACGTACCATCTAGACAAGGGGTGTCAAACTCAACCACTAAAAGGGCCATATTAAAACATCCCAACAAATCCGTGGGCCAACTGTCTTTTTATTTCTATTTAAAAATTTCCCATGACCCCAACTGGCCATTGTTTATTCAAAATATGCCAAAACTACAAAGGCAGAAAATAGGCATTGAATACTTGAACGATTCAAAAGTAATTTGAAATGAAAAGAAATTGTTTTATGTAAAACAGTAGACTACATTAGCTGCAGATAACTTAAACCTTTTGAAATGTCTGCAGTGTACAGTAGGTTTTTAAAAACCCATTTGCTTGAACTACGTTGCAGTGCATGCTGGGAACTGTAGTGCAGCTCTTGGTGAAATGGGCTAATAATAGAGAATTAAAATAATTTTGCGGGCCAAATAGAATTGTGCCACAGCCCTGACTTGGCCTGTGTGTGTTTGACACATGGGATCTGGAGTACAGAGGGCCTATAGACCACCTAGCCCCAAAAAATAAGAAAAAGCACCTAAGGGATTAATGAAGACTGCTGTGCTGTTATACAAAGTGCCATCAATAAAGTCTTTTATGACATTCAGAAGACAACATTTATGTACATTTATGATCTTTATACATTTTTTTTTTATTTTTCTTAATACAATATTGTGATGTCATAAACTGTAATATAAGGTTAGATAATTGTTGTGATATTCATTTTTTGTACTGGCATATGTTTATGTAGAACTTTTTCTGAGACGGGTGATGTTCCACGATGGCAGAATTATATATAAATTGAGAAACTAGATTGTGTTAAAGTGTAACTTTCAGGCAGGTTTCTCTCAGGGAAAATTGTGCTTGCCCAGCAGAATCTTTCAGATAGGTGTAGTCTTTGTATGGTGTGTTTTTAAAGCTATACTCGTTTTTAATGTAATACTTTAAAGTCTTTTAAAAGACAAAATGCACATTTTTAATTGAAATTTTTTAAAAATCTTGTCTGGAGAGCAGTTGAGGCTTATTGTTTAAGACAGAGTTTGTATGGTGCCTATAGGTTTCTATGCCTTCATGGAGATAATGTGTATATGGTCTTCTCTGTCTTCACCTGATTATCATCATCACATTTTCTTTTTCTTTTGTTTAAGAAAAGAAAACTGGCCGACTACACACTTAATAAGGCAGGTGTGGCTGCTTTGAAAAAGGCCTTCAGAAAGTGCTGTAGTATCTTGTCTCAGTTGGTGTATGGTGAGAGGGGTGTGTCTCTCACAGACACAAAGAGACATGGGCATTGCCTGGGGGCAGAATTAAGACTGGATCATGCGCTGCAGAGGGACTGTGCCGACTGGTGTTGAAGTGCTGCTTTAAATCTTTTAAACCAGACTCTACACCTACTGCACAGCTTTGATTCAGAGCACGCTGCTAAACTGTAGTAGTATAAGCATTTCTGTTACCTTAGTGATGAATGATGAGGCCATGGTTAATGGGTTAAGTGTAGTTTAGGTTGATGCAGCACATGCAATTTAGTTATTCTTGTTGGTGTTGTGTCTCAGTGTTGCCCCTCCTCTCCAATAGGATTGTCTGATCTAAGAGCTTGGTACATTAATCCGCTCTTAAAGTGCCACTCTAAGCTGAGAATGTCCAGCTATTGATTGTTTAGAATTACCAAGCTCTATCTCAGCAGTAGACAGTAATTATATCCGCACAGATTTGCATGAGGGTTTTTTGTTATGGAAGTATATATTTAATTCTTGGGCAGAGTTTTTCCTGACAAATTGCAGATGAGCTAAAGGCTAATTCTCCTTTATTGCTTACAAACATTAACATACCGAGCAGTGACACGTGCAATTTCTGTAATGGCAGAGTGAGGAGCTCGCTGCTTCGCTATGTAAAGAAGATGATGACTGTGTTCTGTCGTCATGCTAAAGAGGGCTCTAATCATGTAATTAATTAGGGATGATTAGAGGGGGTGCTTGGGGACATTAGTGCAATAGACAAAGCTCATTCAGCCCTGAAAAATCTGCTTTCACGCCTGTAGAGGTTACTCTCCAAAGCCAAGTCATTAGAATAGACGTACTACAATGACAGAGTCTCGCTTACTCTGCCTGTCTGTCTGTCTGTCTGTCTTTCTGTTGTTCTATTTATTGGTCTATCTATCTGTATGGATCATTCTACTGAAGTGGTTCAAAGAGTTGAAAACACATTTTGGACCTTTAACTGACTTTGGCTTAAGCCCCAAATCCTTCTGCTTTGAGTGACCCTATACCTTAATTCTGTTTATTTTATTAAATAAAGAATTGAAAATTCCATTTTATCACTAGCAATACTATAATAATGCTCCCAAAACTTTACTAAATGTTTTGGTAATTACTGTTTAGGTAGTGTTTGTTTCAGTAGTGACAATTCTAGCTAATTTTAGGCAGAACTTAAAAACGCTATCAGACACAGCTCTGAATAGTTGTACACTCATAAAGTCATAATATTTTTCATTGAAATAGAAAGAAGTCTCACTTCCTGCTCTAACGTGCAGGGGTGTGGTGCAGGGGGTAGCGCTGTTCCTTCACAACAAGACGGGCCTGGGTTCAATTCCCTTTGAACTAATTTGGCAGATACATCCATATATCTATCATTCTATCTGTCTGTCTATCATTCTGTCTGTCTGTCAGTCAAGCTATCTATCATTTTGTAAATCTATTGTTCTCTCTCTATCGTTCTTTCTTTTGACCTATCTAGCTATCCATCTGTTACTGATGCACCAAATATGTATATGGATTCTGTTTTCTTTGTAGCTAAATTGACTAATAACTGATTTTTGCTTGATCTCTATTTGCATTTTTATAACCAGAAACTCATGCTTTGTGGTATAAATGAGCTCATGAAACAGCAGAATAGATAAATAGATAAATAACACACTTCCAGTGCATTCTGCTGGCCAAAGTTGCAATATAAATAACATATTTTCTCTTCTACTTATTATAAAACCTGTAAACAAAAAATTAGTTGTTAATTAGTAGTTTAAATAAAGTGCTACACTGAAAGTAAGAGGCAACTGACTATAGTGTGTGGTTTTTGGAGTAGATTTAGTAGCAGCATTCAAATTCGGCACGAGTGCACTCATCTCACTCACTCACCTGACTCAGATCGGCCAAAATCAAAATAATAAATTGGCCAATTGCATGTTTGGAGAACAAAAACTGCCAAATCTAATTGCAATGTTGACGATTATTCAGAAGATAATTCAAATTGTTATTGTACAGTGGCTGTTCTATGCCACTACCCTAAATGTAGTAATATTTATAATGATTTTACTGCATTTGTAACTGTTTGTAAGTAAATGTTATATTTTGCTATAATTCTACTCTCAAATTCTACATTTTATAAATGTGTTTATATCAGTATCAACAGATATATTACATGAAAAGATCTGTATCGACCCACGATTCCAATAGGACTACATCTCTACTATTCATCCATCCATCCATTTATCCATCTTTTTTCCTTGCATTCCTCCTTTGGTTCATTCTTTTCTTTTTTCCTTCTTTCTTTCTTGCTCCCTTGCTCTTTCTCTGTTCAGAGAAACAGATTAAGACATGGCCCCAAAAGTACATCTGACAGTGCACTGCTGAATCCTACAGCTCCACTGCTCGTGTGCAAAAACTCAGTGTTTATACCTTCTTCCTCCAGAGCACATATGGAAGAAGTCATTGTGATGGGTCTTCTGGGAATCGTATAGAGACTGGAGGGATGGTTCACACAGAAATGCAGTTTGTCATCAGCAGTTAACAAGCCTAGTACGCCACTGTCTCCAGATCATGTTTGTTTTTAGGTGGTCAAACGTGGAAGGTCAGCTTTGTGAAAAACAAGTGGCTTGAGGCAGAGGCGAGATCAAGAGGCAAGACATATTTGAGGGAGGAGAAATCCCAACATTGCAGTGTTTTTAGGTCATTCTGGTTTGTTCATACATTTTAACTCACAATAGAAAATATAAAGGATGGAGTGGTTAATTGGAAGCATGTGGATGTGCAGTATGTAATGATGTGAGTCTGTGCTAAGGCCATTGTTATTGGAGCTGCAGGAGAAAGAGTTAGATGTTCTCAGACTGCTTTTCTCCTACACACCTCTTGTCATCTGTAGTAAAATATTGGTCTGTATCCAGTAAATCTGTTCCAAGCTGTGTTTATTTATAGCGGTCACTTCATTTTTGTCTCTGCAGATTGGGGGTGTGAAGGTGAAAATTTAGTCCGAGCTCTACTAGAGTTGTGCTGGAAGTTCATTTGAAGAAAAGAACTAGCAACAGATTATGTCCTGAAGTGAAATACTTCTGTATAACTTGTAATTTTCACCAAACACTCAATAATGATCAGCTTCTATTTTATTTTCTGTCTCTTTAGAATCAGAATCTCTTTATGACTCTTAACAGGTGCAAATGTGTGAGGATTCTGAGAGTTGTTTGGGGTGATGAGATGTAAGAATCAGTTTTGTTTCCCCAAAACAACTTTAAATGGATGGTTCTTTAAAGAACAGTTTTTGTAAATGAGATGTGCAAGCATGAAGAACCCTCTTAACTTTTAAAGAACCTCCACATAATGTGTCAGTTTTTGTCCTACAACCATATTCCCAAGCCAACTTGGGAAACTTTTTGTTTCAGAATGTACCATAATTCATTTAATAATGTGTGTTTTCTAAACGTGATCATTCATTATACACTCAATTGCCACTTTATTAGGTGCACAGCCTTTTATTCACACCTGTTGTCCATTCTATCAGATACAGCTACCATATAGGTGCCCTTGTTGATCTACAATTAGATTGTAGATTGTAGTCTCTGCATAATTTGTTACTCCCCTTTCAACATGTTTTTCAATGGTCAGAAATACCACAGGAACCCTGCAGGACCACCACAGAGCAGGTATTATTTGGCAGGTGAATCGTTCTCAGCACTGCAGTGACTCTGACATGGTAGTGGCGTATTATTACATGTTGAACTGGTGTGAGTGTATCAGACACAGCACTAAGTAAAGGGGGGAGCTAACAAATTATGCGGAGAAACAGTGGACTGTAATCTGTAATAGTAGAAATACAAGATGCACCTATATAGTAATTGGAGCTGATAAAATAGACAATAAGAGTAGGTAAAAGGGAGGTGTACCTAAAACAGTGGCCAGTGAGTGTGTACATGCATTCTTTTACTTCATATTTCATTTCTTTGCATTTCAGGTGGCTTCCTTAGGTGTAACTACTTTCACACTTTGCGCCTTGTGTATCGACCGTTTCCGTGCAGCCTCCAACGTGCAGATGTACTATGAGATGATTGAGAACTGTGCCTCCACTGCAGCAAAACTCGCTGTCATTTGGATTGGAGCTCTGCTTCTCGCGCTGCCTGAGCTGTTGATCCACCAGCTGGTGAAAGAGGAGCGTGAGCCCCCTGAGGTGACCCCTTGCGAGCGCTGCGTGGTCCGTATCTCCACCGCACTTCCAGACACCCTCTATGTGTTGGGCCTCACGTACAACGGCGCCCGCCTCTGGTGGTACTTTGGCTGCTATTTCTGCCTTCCCTACCATCTTCACCATCATCAGCTCGGTGGTGACTGCCCAGAAGATCCGTAAGGCAGAGCGGGTCAGCGTGAGAGGGAACCGCAAGCAGATCCAGCTGGAGAGCCAGATGAACTGCATGGTGGTGGCGCTGGCCATACTGTACGGCTTCTGCGCCATCCCCGAAAACATCTGCAACATCATGTCCGTGTACATGGCTGCAGGAGTGCCACGTCGCACCTTGGACATCCTGCACTTGGTCAGTCAGATGCTACTGTTCTGCAAGTCCGCGGTCACTCCAGTGCTGCTCCTGGCCCTGTGCAGACCCTTTGGCAGGGCCTTCCTGGATTGCTGCTGCTGCTGCTGGGAGGAGTGCGGCCCTCCGAAGTCCTCCACTGCCACCAGTGATGATAATGAGCATGAGTGCACCACCGAGCTGGAGCTTTCACCCTTCAGCACCATGCGCAGAGAAACGTCTACCTACACAGCCGTGGGCACACACTGCTAGGGCACTTTATCCTACCAATGCCCTATACAACATCCCACCCATAGGGCACTTTATAAAGGGCTCCGATTCACTGAACAAACTAAGTGAGACAGCTTGTTTGCATGTGCTGCCTCACTTTGAGCTATAAATGATGCAGCTCCTTTTTGGGGGATACACTGTAAACACATTATCTTTTGATTATAGGGGCAAAGAGCCAGGACAGAAGGTGTTACAGTTGTAACTGTCCGCTGCTGTTTACAGAAGAAAATCATATGCATTATCTGTAGTTTAAATTGAGTTCATAGTGATTGTGAATTAACTCACTGTTATTTTTTTCTTTTTGCACAGTTGTCTTAAACCTTTTTGCCCCTTTTTGTTTTAAATTGAACGTTTACATATTTCCAGCATACAATAGTATTTTGCAGGTAAGTAGGATAGTAGTGAGTATTTTGAGTCGTACTGGAAAACAGTGATTCTTATGAATCAGTAAGTTAAGTTAAGCCTGGCTCCCTTGCTATGTAAGTATTATGTTTACTCTGTATTTGTTAGCAGAAAATGATATCTTGCACTTCAGTTGTTATTGTAAAGCACTGAAGAAGCTGTTTTAGCTAAATAAATGTCACTTTAATAAAAAAAGAGGTCAACTGAAAAGTTTTGTTTAAAATATATGACAAGTACTGTGCAAAAGTCAGAAACCAGGATTTCATTTTCAGTCAAACAGCCATTAAGTACATGTTATGAATTTTCGATGTCAGTAAAAGCTGAAAACATATTTAACAGAAAATTGTGCAGAAGCTTCAAAAACTAATCACGTATTTTTTAAGTATGCAGTGTGGCCTTTGCTTTTATTTGCAGCTTCCATTCTTTTCAGGAGGCTTGTTTTCAGTTTTACAAAGAAATCTGTTGCTTTGTTAGCTTCTTTGAGATGGTAACAGTTTTGGTGGTCTGTCAGGTCTTGAATTAAATTGTTGGCAGTCTTATTTTCATCATATATTTTAATCTATTTTTGAAAACTTTTGTATTTTTGCTTATTTTCCTTTGACTTTCCCCTTCTTTATGCAGGTGGATTATCTTATATCTGTTCTTCTCTGAATATCTCCTGATAATGAATAAGTTGTACTCAATGGACATTTTGACTGGAAAATAAATGAAGGGAGGGTCTCTGACTTTTGTGCAGTACTATATGTGGTAATAGAATTTCTTGGAGAGGACATCTCACTTACTGCCTTAACTGGGCCAAACAGAAACATGAGAAATCCAGGTGTGTTTGGTATGTTTTGCTTTGTGATGTCTTTCTTGCTTGTCACGTACTGTTGTTTCCCAAGGCTGGAAGGCTGGAAGATTCACTCTTGGTGAAGGCGTTGGTCAACTGGCCTGCGTGACATCAACAGCATACAGTATTTAGCGAGTGCACACAGAGGCTATTGTCTTAAGCTGGTTGCCAGAGCAACATCAGACATCCATAATGAAAAGGTCTGTGTGATGTCACTGGCAGCCATGTATAAGGAGCTTGGCAGTGTGAGGAAAGATGTAGGAAGCCTTTTTTGGTGAACTGGACAGCTGGAGTTGGGTAATTACAGTCTGTACTCAGGATGTTTGCCTCAGAGGAACCGTTTGACTTCTTTTCAGTTTGACTTTTCAGGCAGCTCTGCTTAGGCTTGCTGGATGAACAACTCATGCTGGTACAATTTGTTCAGGGGATAACTGCAAAGTCTGTTCATTCTGTTTTCTGATTATCTGGTTATGGTCTGTATATCGAACCATAATGCCTCATGATACAAAGCGTGTTTCTTAACCCCACTGCTGGGGACACACTGCCCTGCACAGTTTTAGCACACTTTATCCGGCTCTTCAATTGATTATAAAGCCCTTGATGAGTTGGATCAGATGTGCTGGAGCAGTAAATACTTGAAACTGTGCAGGGCGGTGGTTGCACAGGAGCAGGATTAAGAAACCCTGGTATAGAGTGATGAGAGCTGTGTACTGTAAGCTTGCTGACAGCCTTTGTTGTGCAGCCCAATGATGCCTTTGGGCTGTTTGAATAATGAAACCGCATGGTGCTGTAGATTCCCTTCAGACTAACAGTGACATACATTGATGGAACTGTGCTAAACAGGTAATTATCTCTCACTATAGGGAACAAAAGATACTGTCATGGCAACACCAGTTTATAGAGAAGCATGTAGCAAACAACTCAGACAATGCATTTGGTTTGCAATGCTTGAAGATGTATAATTGCACAGAATAGAATACACCAATAACACAAACTGCTCACTAATTGATCAGGAGTGCTCTACATTTACCTTCAGTGGTTATATGAGATTCAGTCTTGTCTCTGTGATCCTAAGGCATTTTGTCAGTGTCCACTGAAGACATTTTCTAGCATTTTAATGCTTGCAGTATCATTTAAACCCACATACCTTTTTGATGCATGATTCATCAACTCAGATTAACAACAGCCCTATTAGATGGTACATGTAATGTAATAATTAATCAGTGAAAAGCTCTCTTTGCCATTATTTTCCACTACTGGAGTTGTTAGGTCAGTGGAACATTATTTGGAATCTGTTATGTAATTACAGTTGGGTATGGTTTCATAAACTGTAAATAAGGAAAAGTAATTAGCCAATAATTCAATTTTCTAGCTTCTGTTTTGTTCTAATCACAGTTCGTATTTTGGCTACAGCTGTAGTGTTTGAATGAGTACTGAAATACTTTCAGAGTTTAAATACAACAAACATAATGGTTATAATAAATAAAAACAGATTAAGAATGTCAGACATGTAATTTTTATTTCATAGGAAATCATTAGGCCTTCAGAGAACAGGGCCTTCCCATCAGATATGCAAATGAGAAATAACTATAGGTGGTCACCCAGCGCCTGTTCATCAGTTATGAGCGCCAGTGAGCTGCATACTCATCATGGCTGTCCAGTCTCAGTGTGCTGTATAATCTGAAATATCTGATTTGAGTGGATTCCATCCTGACCGGATAGAGAGTGTATTGTCTTGTGTTTGTCTTTGTGGGATTGTTCCTCATTTCTAGGTCACTGCCTGTGATGAACGCTTGAATGCCTTAATGAGTTTGAAAGCACTGAGAACTCTCCCCTTCATGGTGAGGGGCTCGCTTATTGTTTCACACACACTGTATGCACAATGTGGCTGCTTCTTCATACTTCGTCTGTGAACGGGTACGGTAGAACTCTTGGTGCTGCCAGTTTTTTTTCCTTTCTCTTTCTAATGAATGCATGAAAGACGCTTTGTGAATGTTTATACTTTCATCAAACGCCCTTTGATGGGCTTAATTGAGCTATCTCAATATTCAAATACCACTAAACAAAAGAACACCCCTCACGCAAAGGCACGCCCCTTTACAATGTCATTTGTGTGCACTGACTATTCACTGAGACAATGCTATAATTTATGCATACCTTTCTGGCAGTTGGAAATTGTGTTCAGACATATTGGAGTTGATGGGTTCAGCCATTTTTAAAGAACACTTATGCTGACATAGGGGGTTCATGGTGAGCCAAATCCTCTATCAGATTGATGATTTTAATTATAAGAAACATTTATCATTGCCCCAGACAGGACAATCTTACCACGGCTTAATACAGTGTCTAAGGCCATTAGAAATATAGGGACACCACAGCATAAATATTGTTGAATTAAAAATAGCTATTTCCTTTGGCTACGCTGTGTGAGATTAGCTAGGAATATTTTTCAGTAATGTTTAGAATCGGGATTTAAACTTGACATACTTAAGAAACATCCAGGCTTGCTTTTGAAGGACAATGCTTTGAATTATCTTTCATTTATTTTCATTTTTTAAGCTGCACCTTGTCACCTTGTACACTGTTCAACAGCAGGGGGAGAGGAACGTGGCCAGCTGTTCTTGGCTTCCTGTGAGAAAGCAGCAGATTCTCAGCCAAGGCCACAGTATGGTATTGCTACAACTGAGTGGACCTTCAGAATAAGCAGCAGACTCTATCTCATTCTACAATATTCAAAATATAACTTTGAAATTTGGTTTCACCCTCAAATGTTAAACATATTTGTAGCGAAACAGTATTTTATACATCAGCAGTCTGGAGTAAAATCTGCATCCATTTGATGGAAGTGATTCCTTAAAGCAAATGTATGGCAAAAAATCACATTTACACACTTTTTCCCTTGCCCTGATCGTAGTCAATCAGCCAAGATATGTAAGGCATTTTTTATGTGCAAAGGTCACTTCCTTTGTTTGGCACTGTAGCTACAAGATTTGTATAGATAGCGAGTAACAGAGACTTACATAGGCCAATTAGCATCATGAAAACTGCACGTCTTCATCACACACTTGCTTCAAATGGTGTAAATTGTAATACAGATTGACTTGCTTATGTGGTTTCTGACACTGTATGACACACTGTTATCTATAAAAGTGCATCACTTTTCTAAAAACAATAGCAGGAGCATATTGAAGTGTGAATTTTCCCCGTCCATTTTAACACCAAACAGTACAAAGCGCAAAAATAAAAAAGCCAACTATAGACACCAAACATGGGCTTTTCTGAACTAATCATTCCATTTGGTATATGGAGAAAATTGTGTAACTTTTATTGTTTACCAAATTATTGATTGAAGGCCTGATGCTACTGTCTCTAGCAACTGTGCAATCCACATTTTAATAAAACTCAGTAATAGCTGTGATTCATCTACTCCTCTCAATAATGTATGCTTCATTAGTAATTAATTTGTGAAAAGCCTTGATTTATCTTCAGTAATTGGTCTCAGTAACAAATGTTTCTAATTTAAAACCTATTCATATTAACATTGACTCATACACTCCTGTTGTCCATGAAATCATCTCACATATTTCACTCTCCATCCTTTCAGTGATGTTTTCAGCAGAGTATTGGACACTGTGGGATTTAATGCCCACTAGCTGTATGATGCAATCAAACAGTGTTAAGAAAGAAAGATTAATAAACTACTCTTCTCTTTCTGTCCACCTCAAACAACTTTTAGGACAAACTGGAAATACTGAATTGAAGCTATTTCAGTAAAATAGAAAGGCTTAAAATCAGCACAGGGAGCAATGAGAGCAGTTGCTATAGCTATTACACACAGCAGAAAGAACCTTTCCTCTCACAGGAACTGCTCTTTTGTTCTTTAGTAATGAAACTGGGTATAACTCTACCGGCTGGCGCTCTCACCAGCGACCAAATCTTCCGGTTGTCCGGTCACTGGACCACTCGGCACCATGAAAAACAACCTGAACTAATCAAAAGGCTGGTATCCCCCAAAATCACACTGATCCAGACTTAGGGTTTATGTGTCAGTGACTGCCCTTGGTTTATTTTTGTAGCTGGAAGATGAATTTTTTCTCTCTCAACATCAAATATGCTGTCATTTTGCATGCTTTAATGTAGCAATCCACCTTCACAACTGAGTAAATTGGATTGGAAGCCCTGACCACCCCAAACCTCTTTCTTAGTGTCAAAGCTTAAAGAAAACTACTGTCACCTGTGCCAGAGGAGGCACCTATACACCACGATTAAATGTCAGATCAGCAGAGCAGACTGACAGTAAATGTTCTCTATTAAATAATATGTCACGTGGGTCTGGAGTGCACTGCACACCAATCAAACATATGAGT